CCCCCGCCTCGGCCCGCACCGGCCCCGGCCCCCACCGGCCCCGGCCCCGGCTATCCCAACGCCGGACCGGAGAATCTGGCTCGGCCCTCGGGAGAAGCACCCCAGCCACGCCCCTCCTTTCCCTCAACACGTTTCGGCGTCTTTTCAAACCCAACACTGGGATCCCTCCCTTGACACCTCGCTGGAACCGTCTACCACACCCCAACTTTTGTCCTGACTGATCCCAGAACCAGCTACCCCCTCTCGGAACATAAAGCGTCTCCCAAGCGTCAGGCCCGCCGAAATTGTCGTGACTCAGGACTCCCCCCACAGGATTGACGAGCGCCCCTTTGTGCCTCGCCACGAACCTTTCACCCAGGTTCCCAGTATTTGTGCTCCGTCCCCCACCCCTTCTTGGAGATGACCTTGGACCTTGGGTCTTGAGTTTTCCGAGATCTCCTTGGCAGTCCTCAGATTTGATGTGCTGAGGCCCAGGCCCCACAGTGCCCCATCTTTGGCTGTTCTTCTAGATACCACCTCGGCCTCCACCCCCAACGCCCCATTCCCAGGACGTTGTGTGAAAGTTGGCTGTGGCTTCACAGTGTCTAGTGAAGCATTAGATATTATCAGTAGACCACCTTGCGCACAGTAGGCGCTCCATAAATACACAGGTGCCTGTTAAATGAATGAACAATTACCTCAGAGCTTGGCCTGCCCCACAACTAGTAATCATGGAGGGGGTGGTGCCCACGGACATCCTGTCAGACAGATGCAGAGCTGGTTCCAAGTCCTGCCTACCAGCGTTCCCTTCCCCTGTCCCAGCCTCTACCTGTCCCCCTGCAGCCTACTCCAGAGGGCCCTTCACAAAGGAGGGGCGAGGGTTCAAGGCCTCGGTTGTTGTCCGAAGCCTTCCTGGATCTTTTCAGGAATTTTGAGCAGCAGGGGCCTGCCTTTTCCTCCACTTGGCCCCGGCAGTGCTTGTTTATTAATTATACTAATGATAACAACAACAGCAGTGTTGGCGGCCTCAGACCCAGCTGGGGGCGCCCCCAGGCGGCAGCACTGGGAGAGACTGCGGAAGCGCTGTCAGAGTTGAATGGCAGGGACCTGAAGTCTCAGTGTACCCAGCCTCTGCCAGTTTTCTTGGGCAATGTGGGTCGGCCCCAGGACCCTCTCCTTAAAGAAAAGACTTGCTGCCTTCCACAATCTACACTTTGGGAGCTTGGGCTGAGTAGCATCAGAGCAGGCAGACAGCAGTCTGATGCTGGGAGTCAGATTTGCCAGGCAGGGGTGCTGCTCCTGCAGTTAACATGCCCACTGCAGCCCTGACTCCAGGACCTGTCACTTCTCAAGGTCCTCTCTGAGGTGGGCTTCACATTTCTGGTGAAAGGAAACCTCCTTCTATTGGCTCTGGCTGTCTTTGGAAAGACCTCTCCTAGAAGCTGTTGAACCCAAAGCCCAAACGTAGACTTCCACTTCCTTCTCTCCTCTCATTCCTTTCCCATCATTTACTGAACTCTGACAGAGAATCCCAGCCCAAGATCCATTGTCTGTCACCAGTTAGAATGGATTTCTCAGACCAGACATGCATGGATTCCCAATCATTCTCCACTCGCACATTTGACAAACTTCCTACCTCAGCTTCAGGTCAGAGACATGTCACTGTTACCCTGGGGTAACACACTATTGGGCGGGGGGGACTGGCAGAAGTGCTGATTGTGCTGAATTCCTGGTTCCTCGACCCCTCTCAGTTCTTAGTATTTCCCTTTGCAGGATGGGGGTGGAGGTAGGGCCCTGGTCTTCTGACTTTTCAGCTTCTGTAGGGAATGATTGCCTTCCTGAACCTTTAAGGCCCACTCTTCTTACCTATTCCCCCATCTTTCTCTTTCACACTGGGCATGGTATGGGAATGTGCTTTAAGTGTACATGAGCAGGTGTGATTTTGTGGAAGAGGTGTGTGGGTGGAAGAGAGGGTGTGCATTGTGATGTATGAGGGAGGGTGTACATTTGTGCAAACTAAATGTGACTGACACTTTGTGGGTGGATAGGGAGAAAGTGTGTGTGCGTGTGTGTATGTGTGTGTGTGGAGGAGGTTGACTGCCTATGCAAATACATGCCTGCAAAATCTCCTTTTCATGAATGCATTGCTTGAAATGAAACTAATCAAATCAATAGAAAATGTACTTGACCTAATGCAGGAGCACCTGTCCCAGGAGTTCCTGTCTTCAGAACAGGACCAGAGTCAGCTATGATCTATCCCAGGGAAGTAGGAAGGGTTGGAGGGAAAGAGGTGGGGAAGGGGGGAGGATGAGACAAGAACAGCCCCTCATTATGAATGGAGCCAAGCTGGGCCATGTATCTCCAATAGGGGGAAAAAAATTATTTGTCCACCCTCTGCCTTTCATGATCCAGGATTACCCAAGGAGGCCAATGATAGAGGGAAGACAAACCTGGAAATAAAAGCCATCTGCCCACAATAGCTGAACACCATGATGGCAACTTCCATCAATCTCAGGAAAGCAGTTGTTTCAGATTTTCCAGAGTTAGGGATGCTTCCCTTCACCCTGCCCCCCTCTCAGGGGGGAGAAGAACCATAAGGGAACCAAGGTGAGTTTGAGATTGGCAGGCTCAGGTCTCACTGACCTCATGACTAAGGACCTATTCTTTCTCATTAAAGAGGTGAGTGTGGGAAGTTCCACTTAGAAATGGGGCAGGCCACAGACTATTCCTGAGCACCCTAGAGAAGTCACAGAATCTACGTTTTGGGGCTTAAAGGGAAACTTCCCACAGGTCTGAGGCCAGGGACACTGAGAATGTTTTAGTGCCCACCATTGCCTTCTTCCTGAAACTCCTATGCCAGACACAATGCCAACCTTCGTCCAGTTGAAGATGAAGCAGAAAGGTAAATTTCTAGGAGATAACACACTTTGACTTACAGTCATTGGGGGACTTTCAAATCATCCCCCCCCTCAAAAAAAAAAGAAAAAAAGCAGACTTAGAAATTGGGAAGAGGGGCCTCCCTGGTGGTGCAAGAGGTTAAAGCACAGCACTATGAAGCTCTCCATAGCCACTGCAGTACAAATTCGACCCCCCTGCCAGGGAGCTAACTCACATTGAGCAGCAGACTCCTTCTGAACTGCCCACTGCTCCTCTCAGCAGTGAGTTTCAGTCAATCAGCCTGTTCTGCTCCCCACTCTGTCTCTGGTGAGTCCTCTTACTCCATACACCTCTGGCCTGTACTGCAGTTATTGTAGGTGTAAATAAATCTTTAAAAAAGAAAAAGAGAAACTTTATCATCTTCGAAATTGGCTCTATTTCTAAAACATTTCTGATTGTGGAAATTTTAAACATACATAAGTAGAGAGAATAGTGTAACAAACCCCCAAAGTGCCCATCACTTTGCTTCAATGATTATCTGAGCCAATTGTATTCTACTGTCCCATTTTTAGTAGTTTTGCTGGAGTTTTTAAAGACAAATCTTAGTCATATAATTCCAGCTGTAAGTATTACACTCTATCTGCAATGCACCTAAAAAATCTCCATCCACAAATACATTCAGATGTTTACATATAGAATATTTATAGGTGTGTGTGTGTATACATATATATATAGCTATGCACAAACAGTGGCAAAGAACACATCTAGCACCTAAATCTTGGCTTCTAACATCATTTTTCAGTGAAAGGATACAAGGATCATTGCAGAAATGATTGAGTTCAGGATCCAGGCAGGAAATACTCAAAATGAGCCCGAAGCATTTTGTAGTGACAAAAGAAAACATAGACAAAAGAAAAACCTAAAAACAGACCAAGTCCCTTGTCCCCGCCCCACACACAAAATGATGGGGTATATCAAAGGGTCAAAATATATTTGAATAACAGGGAACACAGACAAATCTCCCATGCAGAAAAATTCCAAATAATATATGTAGATACTCTACCCTCAAGGAGGGTAGCACAGTTCATCAGTCATTAAGTGCATCATACATAGTGCCTTCCTTCCAAAGAGGACAAGCTGGAAAATGGGTAGAAGAATGGAAAGATCTGGCAAACAGAGCTCTGGCAGTGACCAGATTATGGTTAACATCAATGGTGATAAATTGTGTAATGGTATGTACACTTGATACAATGTGATAAAAGTGGCAATTTAGGTATGTGGTCTTCCCAAAACCCATATATAACCTTAGTCTAATCTTGAGAAAACATCAAGCAAATCCCAATTGAGGGATATTCTATAGAATAATCCACCACTACTACAATAAAATTGTCAAAATCATCAAAAACAAGCCTCACAGACAAGAGGAGACTAAAAAGACATGACAATTAGGGGCCCTCCCTGGTGGCACAGCGGGTTAAAGCACAGCACCAAGAAGCTAAAACCACTTCAGCATTAGTTCAATCCCTGACCCAGAGGTGATCCACATGGCGCACAGACCCCTCCTGACCTGCCCACTGCTCCCCTCAGCTGTGTACTTAATGGATCTGCCTGTCCTGCTCCCCACTCTGTCTCTGGTGAATCCTCTCACTACTCCTACATCCCTGGCCCATACCTCAGTTCTGTATGTATAATAAATAAATTTTTTAAAAAGACATGACAATTAAATGTAATGTGGTATCTTTGATGGAACAGAAAAAGAACAGCAAGGAAATTTTAAGAAAATAATGTGTCAATATTGTTTCATTAATTCTAACAAATTTATTGTATTAATATTAAATAGTAACAATGGTAAACTACATTTGGAGTAAATGAAATTATTTTTCTAAAAATCTAAAATGATTCTAAGATAATTTATACTTCAAATAAACATATCCATTCCCAATTTTTTTTAATTCTTAATATGTTATAAAATCCAGCTTGTATTTAGTCTCCCCAACAGTCTCAAAAACAGTTTTTCAGAGGTTTGTTTGAATCAGGATACAAACAAGGACTACATATTTGATAATATCTTATGTGTTTTGAAGTATAAGGAGGTCCTTCCCTCCTGGAAAAACAGTTATAGGAGAAACTGGGTCATCTGTAGAATTTTCCACAATCTGAATTTAGTTAATCATATCATCGTGTTATCAGTTAACATTTTCCTCCACTGACCAAATCTCCTGTAGGCTCAAAGTTAGACCTAGGTGCTTAATTAGATTTCAGGTTCATTTTTTTTCCTTTGGCATGTTTGGCATTGGCAAGTTTCTTAGGAGCTTTGTATTTTCAGTAGTATTGCATCAGGAGGCATATAATATCCAGTTGTCCCACTTTCAAGATGCTAAAATTCAGTAGGTTGAGAAGCTGACAACCTGATTCATCATATAAAGCCCTCAAGTTTTCACCTAAGTGTTGAGTCATTACCATTATTTAAAGTCATTATTTCATTGGTGGCTGCAAACAATGATTTTCCTATTATCATTCTTTCTGTGTTTTTGGTTCAAGTTCCCTTCCCTCATTCCCCATAACTTCTAACCAGATCCAGCAGTTTATCAGACCTTATAGTTGGCTAAATCCTAGTAGCTAAAATTATTGCTGCTGTGGCTGAACCAAGAGAATTTAAGATGGATTGTAGAAGTCTACTGTTGTCCTGGGCCGAGGAACTTGTCAAAAAAATGCAAATTCTCGGGTCCTTTTCTAGATCTACTGAATGATAAACGTTGAGGGTAAGTCCTAGTGATCTGTGTTAACAAGCTCTCTGGGGGATTCTTCATGCCTGCTCAAGTTTGAGAACCACCAAATTAACTGGTTGTCCTAAAATGGTATTCGGTCAGGCAACCATTTCCTAAGGTCTTAGAAGTATGAGAACATGCTGAGTGCTGAGCATTATGGACATAAGAGAGAAGGCTTGGGACACCCAAGGAACTCAGTCTATTCAAGGGAACAAGTCACATGCTGTGGAAAGGTAACCAGTGGCAGCTGTTAGTCAGCAATGCCTTCCAAGATGCCACACAAGTGGAGCAGGTGGAAAATCCCAGGTGATTATATGAAAAGTTCAGTGAGTGGGCACAGTTGGCAAAGGCTTTGGCGTTTCTCACTAGACCTTACAGGAAAAGAAAAACCTGGAATTGGAGGTGGCAGGGGTAAGAGGGAGGATTTCCAAGCAAGGAGACCAGGACAGGATGCTCAGGAAGAAGAGGATCACCTTGCAGGCAATCAGACCTTTCTACTCTCTCTTGGTCACCCCTGGATCTTTCCTTAGGTCTCGCCTTCCCTGTTTCACGGTTATCTTTGTGCTCGCCCATACACATAATAAGGAGGTTACACTGGTTTCTATGCGCTGCCTATGGGATTGGATGCTGGAGAATAGATGTGGTTATTCCGCTGGTGAGCCCAGAGGGGCGTCTGAACAAGAAGCTTTAGCATTAGATGCTGGGGTTGTACCCAGTACCTTTGTGCTCCCGGGACGCAGACGCCCAGCCAGCAAAACTCAGGGTGGGCGGGGCCGGGCTGCGGGGCGGAAATTGAAATCTGGAGGCGGCGGAAGGGCCGCCCCTGCGGGGCAAGATGGCGGCGCCCAGGCGGACCTAGCGCAAGTAAGTTGCCGGGCTGGAAGGGTAAAACTTCAAGGTACTCGAGCGGAGGGGCTAGGTGCAGGGTATCTAGTTCGGTTGGCGGAGCCTGTCCAAGTGACTCGTACGCACAGGTACGGCCGCAGCGTCCTCGATGATGTGATCCTGAGCACGGCCCTCTCTCTGCTTCAAAGGCAGAGACTGGGCGATTTCGATTCATAGAGGCGGTGGTCCAGGAACTACCCGACTCTACTTGGGGCGGGTCCTGGCGTTGAAGGATAGCTGGCGGAGGGAGCGCCCCAGAGATTGCAGAGCTATTTCTGAGAAAACGGTGTGGTCCTTTGTTAGAGCTAGTTTGCATGGTCCTTGTTGAGTTCAGCATGTCATCTCTTTTAGCACGGATTGATTCTGGACAAATCTGCTCTGATCTTTGTGGGGGAAATACATTGGTGACTTTACTTACGACTAAATAGTTGCTGTTATTTACTTAGGCTTATTTATGTGATTACCAGGCGCTGCGGTATGCACTGTAAATGCCTGGACCGGGATCAGTTCTCACAGTTCTTACTATATAGGACCTGTTGTTCACATTTTATAATTATGGAAGGTGGACTCGACGCAACTTATTTAACTTACTTAAGTTAACCAGATTAGCTCTGCAGTTAATAAGTCGAGGAACTTGATTAAACTGCAGAGCTACTTGATTTCTGGCCTATTAATTCCACTCTGATTCTTTCTGCAAAGCACATAATAGCCTATGAAGTGGGCTGTATTAGGTGGCTTGAACCTATAAATAAGAGAAATTATTTCTGCTTGTGTTTACATAAGTAAATTGTTTACATACTATGGGTTCTCATTTTATTTAGTTCATTCAGCTTTTGGGCATTTAGGTGGCATCTGTTGAGTTTGAGGATTTTTTCTTTTTTCTTTTTTTTTCCTAATTGTTGGCAAGGATGCTCAACAATTGGATCTGATTGGTCTGGTTTTACTACTCTTCATATAAATAGTTATAACAACTAGTATTTGCATACCTACCATGTATGAGACTCTCCTAATAAACTTACATATATTTAACTAATTCATGAGGTAATACTGTATCTGCATGTTACAAATGAGAAACAGGCACAGTAACTTGAGATAAACTAACTTGCCAAAGTTTACATAAGTAGAAAGTGGCAGGTCCTGGATTTGAACACAGGCGGTCCATTTCCAGATTGTCACTGATGCAGGAAGAGGTACATATGTTCTTTGCATCTACTTATTACAAGCTCTGTTCCAAGTTTAAGATTCACTTTTGTAGATAGGTCTTTGTTCACTTCAACCACGTCCTCTGTCTCAGTTAGTTTCTTTAATAGTTAGCTCTGTTTTAACCTTTAGTGATTACTACCATCACTGAAATCTAATTTTCTGTGTAATTTAGTCATTGAGATGTTCTGCTTTTAAATGTATATGTGTGGTTACCATATCTCTTCATCCAAATTTGGGTGCATCGTTTAACTAAAGGTAGAACTTTTACAGTTTGGGGCAATGCCATTTCAACTATAAACCTTTGGAACTCTTAGGTTTATAGGGGTAAATTATATACAGAAATTATTAAGAATTACAGACCTAGCATTTTGGCTTTGTCTTTGTCTATCCAGGGATAAGTGTCTTACCTCCATTTCTTTGTATTTCCAACCCCTTGTGTTATTTTGTCCAGATTAAATTCAAAGAAAAAAAATTGGGGCCCTCCCTGGCGTTGCAACAGGTTGGGATGCAGCACTGCAAGCTAGCCTCAGCCATTTCAGTGCGAGTTTGATCTGAGGCTGTCCAACTTGGAGGTAGTCCACATGGTGCAGCAGACCTCTCCTGTCTCACCCACTGTTTCCCTAGCAGTGTACTTCACTGCCTGTTGTGCTCCCCACTCTGTCTCTGGTGAATCCTCTGACTGTCCCTACACCTCTGGCCTGTACCCCAGTTCTATATGAATAAATAAATAAATCTTTAAAAAAAAATGGTAGTTCTTAAAGTCAGCTTCTCATATTATTGTTCTACCACTTTTAACCCTCCCCTCTCCACAGTATGGTAGGTGATATTTCCAAATACTGTTTATTATCTGATCTACTTAAAACTGGATGAAAAAAGAAACTGTGTTGCCCAGAACCTTCTTTATTCCTGCCTATCCAACCTGTGTCCCCTGCAACTCAACCCCCCTTCCACTTTAGGACACAAGTCAACTCTAAACTTTCTATAGTGTACACTACAGCTTCCTACAACAAAGAATCATCTGACCTCAAAGGTCAGTGGAGCTTAAACAGAGAAACCCTATTTTAATTCAAATCTTTGTTCTTTAGGAGAGTCTTCATAGTTCTCCCCAGTCTCACTGTCCACCCTTCAATAATAGACTTCTGCAATACTCAAGCACAGTGCTGTTAGTAGTAGTCTCAGGACATAGTGGTTAAGAACATGGACTGACTTCCTATCATTTTTTTACTGAAATCTTGGGCAAATTACTTAACTTCCAGCATCCGCTTTCTTCAACCTTACACTATGACTACTAATAGTAAGCTACCATATGGTTGTTGTGAGAATAAAATGTATTAATTGGAGAAAGTATTAGCATATATTTAAAGGTCAGTAAGACTGTTTTTTGTTTTTTTTGTTTTTTAAGATTTATTTATGCATACAAACAAGAACTGGGGTACAAGCCAGAGGTGCAGGGAGGGTAGGTGAAAGGATTCACCAGAGACAGAGTAGGGGGCAGAACAGGCAGATTGACAAAGTACACTGCTGAGGGGCATAGTGGGCGGGTCAGGAGAGGTCTGCTGGGTCATGTGGATCACCTCTGGGGCCAAGGATTGAACATACACTGAGGCAGCAGCAGCTAGCTTGTAGTGCTGCATCCCAATCCATTGCACCACCAGGGAGGACCCAGATTAACTGTTTTAATAGTAACAATAATAAAGATCTTTACTTAGCTTCTAGCTCAGGGGTCCCACCCAAACTAGCCACACAGCTTGCCAGACATGTTTTATTTGGCCAACACAAGATTGTTTTTCTAATGAAGCTGTGATTCATAGACCATCCAATTCACCACTTGAAAGTATACAGTTCTGTGGTTTTTAATATATTCACAAGGTTGTAACCAACACAACTGTCTAATTCTAATTCAAGAACACTTTCATATCCTTAAAGGAAACTGTACAGGTAGTACTTAACTTCCCTTCTCTCCTGTTCTCCTAGTCCCTAGCACCCCCAATTTATTTCCTGTCTCTGAGGATTTACTCATTTTGGTCATTTCATATAAAGAATCCCAATATGAGACCCTTGGTGACTGACTTCTTTCATTTAGCTTAATGTTTTCAAGACTCATTCAAGTATCAATGTTTCATTCCTTTTTACTGATGGATAATATTCTATATTACACCACATTTTGTTTATTCATCTGTTAGTTGACTTAGATTGCTTTTACTTTTTTACTATTATGACTAGCTCTGCTACAGACATTCATGTACATTTTTGGGGGGGTGAACATGTTTTCATTTTTCTAGGGCATATACCTAGGGATGGAATGATTGTTTCATATGGTAACGCTCATTTTCGCCAGGCCATTGTACATTACCACAAGCCATGGAAAGGGGGCCAGTTTCTTCACCTACTTCCCAACACTTACTATTCTCCTTTTCATTTTTTTTAATTCATAGCCTTCCTAGTGAGTGTGAAGTGGCATCTCATTGTGGTTTTATTTTTTGCTTTCCTATCGACTAATGATGTTGAAAATTGTTATGTGCTTGCTGCTCATTTATCAATCTTTGGTGAAATATCCTCTGCCTGTTTTTAAATTGGATTATTTGTCTTTTAATTTTTGAATTAATTTTTTAAATTTTGTTTATTCTCATAGTTTGGAGAATTTTACTTTATTTTATTTTTTAGAGATTTATTTATGCTCACAGAACTGGTGTACAGGCCAAAGGTGCAGAGATTCACCAGAGACAGAGTGGGGAGCAGAACAGGCCCACTGACGAAGTACACTGCTGAGGGGAG